ACAGAGATGAATCGGGGACTGCGATTCTCAACTGTAACTATATAAAATTGTGTAGCAAATTGATGCTGAACCTAGTCCAAAAAAAAAAAGGAGGGAGAACACGGGAACACACAGAAAACACAAGTATTTGGTAACCCAGTTCACTGCTACAACAACTACGTCTAGGGAGGAAGTAGAATCCTCAACATGCACTATAGATCAATAGTTACATATGTGTTTTGATTACATCATACTTCTCACACTCATCTAACATCCTAGATAGAGTCTTCATAAAAAAATGAAAGAAGAATACGTACAAGAAATCAAACCTAGATACACCAAGAAACTACATCTCTCTTTAGCACTTGTTCACCTCTCGGGAACCGCCTGAACTAGGGTTTGGCTCGGCTCAACTTCTACCTATGTTTGATCCTCTTTATTTATACCTAAAAATGAGTCGGCTCCCGTACGGGCTTCAGACCAATATTTGGCTTAGTTTCTGACTTAGACCAAATAGGCCCATGTAACACAAACATATATTAACTTCAAGCTTCTGATCCACATCAGATTCATCGTTCAAGTTGAATCACACATCAACATTCTCCACCTTGATTCAAGCTTGAAAAAACCTTAATAACTTGCCTCATAGAACCTTTGAAAGCTAGTTCTAAATTTGGCTAAACATTCTTCAGTAACCTGCATAAGTCATACTTATACAGCAAACATTTCAACAAATTCAACTTCTAAAATTCGCATTAACCATCAACGCATATTTTTGGTGGATATCCATAGAGACCTTTGAACCTTCGTAGATATACCAGTACACTCAACACACTCTTGTGCCAGCCTTGTCATGCGCTTGACATCTCCATAGCTTTGATCATGAGATACCCACTCATAAGCTATATAGTACCATGTTAACAACAGCATCAACATGTTCACTCAACAGATCACTTCATAAGCTAAACCACTTATGAGTTATACAATCGCACACTTTTCATCATGGTCCTCTCAAACACTATATACATGTTTCAATGATTGAATTCCAACTCTTGTGTGTACGGAGACACGAATCAAACCTTTACTTGAATCAACTGCAGAAAACTGAAACACACTTGTTTCAACCTGAACCAATTCTCTGATTCAATATTTGTAAACAATCTCAACATCCGGCAATACCATTGCACAACCTGAGATTATCCATTATAACCACTTGTTTGATCATATTAACCTTGACAACTTCACATATTCAAACATCGTGGAATCACCACCAATAGCTTGTGACACACTGTCAGTCGCTTCAACCATGTCTCATGTCATCATAACATGTGATATGCAAGAGACAGTACCTTACAGCTTCTTCACATCAAACTTTAAGCTCATGATGTGTTTCCGGAACTCTACAAAACATACACTATTATACAGAATCTACCAAACAACTTGGTACATCATCATAAACCATCTCAGACCTTAAACAATCTTTAAACATGGAGATAATTCAAACTCCACCTTATGATGCAAACTGACAACTTATAACTTACAACAAATGCTATTTTACACTATTACATTTTCAGCCTTTACATGTCTTCACATCTGTTGCAAATACTTTAAACCTTGAGATATCTTGTTTTTATCCGAGATGCACAACATACTGAACTTTCTTGAAATGACTAACAGAGACAATAAATGCAAACTCCTTCAACTACCTCTTAGATTCTCGTTCAGAGAAAACTACTTGATCACTTCAACGTTCATTCATTTCATGCTCAACACCTTAGTGTTCATTTTAATTTCATAGATTCTTGTAACTTACTTCAATACTAGAGATCACTCCATGACTGAACAACTCAGAGACAACTTTCAAAAGAAATCAATTAACAAGTTTAAAAATAACCTTCAAACCTGTTAATAAAATAACTATATCATAAGATGACCACTTATAATTCTTATATCAAACAGTTTTTTCCCTAAGGTTTTGATTGACTCCATAGAGATATGTTCCAGAGATTAATCAAAAACTTTAAATCTCTACTTACTTACTTAAAAGTTCCTTTTGAACCACATATTAGAATTTCAGAATCAAAGATGCTCCAAACACCTGAAACAGTCTTCTACTCAACAACAATTTATATGACAAAGATAGATTAAATTTCAAAATACAACGCTGTTGTTTCCAACAGGACACGCCACTTAATGTCCTAAGGCTAGGAAGAATTTCGACACAGAACTTCGTTGAACCCAGTACACATAACAAATATTCAGCTAACAGTTTTGACAACCACCATATTAGCTTACCTTTGTTCCTATCAGCAATAACACAAACATGTATCATGCTCAATTAACAGTGACCTATGATAAAATCCAACATGTAGACAAACACCTCATGAATGTGACTTCACACACCCAGTTATAGCTTCAGATAATCTTGACTCAGTCACATACTCCCTTGACTGCTACAATCAAGACTTGCATAATTCTGCACAAGTTGCAAACTTCTCAAGCGATGTGCCTGAAACCTTCTAAGATATACACATGAGTCTGTTTGTTTAACGGAAGAATGTTCCCAATGATACGTTTGATTTAAACAAATCGTAAACCATGAAAACTCATTCAAACCAATTGTCAAATACAACCTTGATTAGACCAACTCCGAATTAACAATACTAGTCCGATTTAAGATACACAATCATATAGATTTCTATCACCAAATGTGAACTCCACCTTGATGATAAACCAATATGATCTCATGATCAATGAACCTCATGCTTTTGTCTTAATCATCATGTCAAAACAATAATGATGACCCACTTTGCAAACTTTAAGACCTTGAGTCTTCCACATCTGAATTTCAGTACACTGATGTTATCTCATCTCCTTTGAAATTGAAGTCTTTAATCAGCATACCACTGATATTTTTCTTTATCAGGTCTCACCATGAGTCTGTACTCGCCTTTACAGAACTCTTTGTTACATTGGCTAAGTTCTAAGCTTGATCAGTTTCAGGTACATCCACAGAAACTTGAACAGTGACTACACTAATCACTTACAAAATCTTGCCCTCCACATGAACATCATGTTTTAGCAAACTACAATCATCACTTTGATGACTTAACATATCCATCTTCTTATTCAATCTTTGGCTGATCCGTAAGTAGATAAAACACAAAATACTTATATGTTGTTCCAACTGAAAACCCAACCATCTTCTTATTCAATATTTGGTTGATCCGTAAGTAAATAAAACACAAAATACTTATCTGTTGTTCCAACTGAAAACCCATCTGCTCCTTCTGCACCTGCATTCGTGTGCCACAGAATGTCTAACAACAACGTCTGCAGTCTTAAGCCAACTTCTTTGAACTCTTGCAGACTACTTTCAGCTCCATGACGCTCTCCTTTAAAACCTTTGACCTTCAAAACTTTGAGCTTGCCTCAGATTCACAAGAATATGACCATTCACACCGATACTGATTCAACAACTTAAACTCACAAACTTTCTAAAATCTTAACCAACCTATATAGATCCCAACATATTGTCCTGAACCTGTTTAACACTCATATGAAGATCTTCTATATGAACCAGAAAACCTTATTCATACTCAATCAACCATTAACACACATAGGAATTCAATCTTATAAGGTATCCCCTATAAGCGTAATCATATTCCAATGGATTGTTCAAACTTCTGAAACTTGAACACGAGCTGCATTAGACTTTCAGCAAACTGTATACACCAAAACACAATCTTAAACTCAACAATGAATCTAGGATAATCTCTTTCCAAATCAACATACATCTTTTATGTGTTCTACCACAATTCTTATTCCTCTTACCAAAGCAAACCATAAACAAACAGAAGTACCCTTCTTAACATCATAAGTTCACCTTGTGACCGAATCAGATACATACTTAATTTCTTCAAGATTCAAGCCTAGAGATCAGAGGTTTACTCCACCTCAAACCAATCTCCAGTTCGCCGCACAACCATAATTAAGAATAAACTCTTTGGATGAGTGCTCTTGCATCAGCCTTAGGATATATCATATACCTAATTTTAACATCATTACTAGCGAATATATTGATCCAAAACTCACAATGATGTTAACCTTTTGAACCATTGAAGGATACAACCTGTAGATTCTGCAGCTTTTATAACCCTAAAATCTTCAATCATCAAACATTGTTAGATCAACTGCAATGAATCTTCATTCCTTCAACATTGACGTTCTGAAATCCACACTACAGGAATATTGGTTTTTTATAGCATTGAAGTACATCGTTTTGTGTAGTTGTGCTATTAATAACTTATTAAAAGTTTGTAATAGCGTTTAGGAAAACTAAATGCTATGATATATTTTCTATCCCCTATATAGTAAAAGAGGAGTACACTTTTCTTTCAAAAAAAAAAAAAACAAAATTACCAAAAAGACATAATCCTAACCTTCACCCTTCATTGTCATTAAGGTTAATCTAGTAACTTAATCAGTTCCGGGTTGGTTTAATTTTGCAATTACAACGCGATTTCTACAAACGGGTATTACGTAGCTAACAACTTAAATTCCATCTAATCGGGTTATTAATCCGAATCATTAGTAAAGGAAAACATTTATGATCCAACGTTGGGCCAGTTATAATTTCTGGCTATTACTTAATAATTCCAGGCCCAATGAGGTTAGCAGAAGTATTTTTGGAATACGTGTTAGAAAAGAAAAACTATGAAGTCTGATCTTTTTAAAAGAGGCCAAAATGAACAGACGAATAATTTACTTCCTATATTTGCGTGTTATTAACATTACCAAATCTTCCTCAAAACCAACTTTAGCAACAAATAATATCAATATCCAAATTCGAACATTCAAATTTTAAGAAAGTTGCTAAGCAGAAGATACTAAAAGATATGTAGCTATCATTATCGAATATGCCATATTAATCACACGATTCTAAACCTTAATACTACCCTACTCCCCACAGTTATATATAAACAAAATCGCACTCCTACACCTTGCATTCACAAACCACAATGGCAAACATTCCTTCATTCACCGATTTATCATCCATTAAGCCATTCAAAACCACATGGAGAATCCAAGTGAAGATCATTCATTCTTGGAAGCAGTATACTCAATACGGTGGAGAGACTTTAGAAATGATCTTAACTGATTCAGCAGTAAGGATTTACCATAGTTTGTATTTTCACAAATCCATCAATACTTCTTCATATTAATTGTTTGCTATTTACGTTATAACAGGAAACTCAAATCCATGCTACTGTCAAAAAACAGCAGATCAGCAAGTTTCAGAGGTCAATAGTACCTGGGGAGTGGAAAATCATTGAGAACTTCACATTGAGTAAGGCAATGGGAAGATTCAGGGCAACCAAACATCCCTATCGGATGTGCCTTATGAACAATTCTACGATTGTCCCATGTGCTTCACTATCACCAGATATGTTCTTGAATTTGGTTGAGTTTTAAACTGTTCAGCAGGATCCTTCTCTGGATGAAAACATTCTAATCGGTTAGTTCTTACAATAACTGTCAAATTTATTTATTGTCATATATGTCAGATATAATCTCTTATTTGTACAAAATTTTCAATGAGTTAACAGATGTCATTGGCCAAGTGGTGAACATTGGACAAATGAAAACACATGAAGTTGAAAACAAGACAAAAAAGAAACTGGAGTTTGAATTGAGAAACACACGGTATGAATGTTTGTGTATTATATGTTAACTCATCATTGAGAGTGATGTAATATTTACTTACAAATTTTCTGAATTCTGTAGTGATGCACGCCTGCCAGTTACTCTATGGGGGTCATTTGCTAAAAGAGTAATCACAGCTTGCCAAAATTGTGATGACCATCAGGTGACATGTCTTCTGCGTTTTGCCAAAGTAAATTCATTTAAAGGTATTATTCAAACTAACATAAAATCTTTCATATGTTGCCGAATGAACACTTGCATTGATAGTAGTATAAACATACCTTTCGGCTTGATTTAGGTGAAAGATCAGTTTCAAACGCCTTTGACGCATCTCTGCTTGAATTTGATCCAGTTTGTGTAGAGGCTATTGATTTTGTCAACCAGTAAGTGTATGTTTGATATAAATTCAAATCGTTTATTCATAAAGTATGAAATTCATAAGTATGTATGTGCTATAGTCAGTATACTAATTCAAATATTTTATGACTTATAGGTTACCTAATGATGGATTAGCTCTGACAATCAAGAGTGGTGTGCCTGACCAGACAGTGAGAAGGGAGGTGATGTACAACCGTTTCCCACCATGTACCATTGTTGAACTGCTAGATTTCAATGAGGTAATCTATATATATATATATATATATATATCTTATTTATAGCATGGACATCGATTTAATATTAATGACTTATAAAATTATATATTACAGGAAGGCAAGTTTAAAATGATGTGTACTGTCTATGCCATAGATCGTGACTTCGCTTGGTATTACTTTACATGTCTCAAATATGCTACAACATGCTTCAAGGTACCCAAAGTTGAGAATTCTGTGAATGAGCATAATAAGCCTCCTTTGTTCTGGTGTAGTGGATGTAAAGAGAATCATAACAGGATTGAACCAAGGTATGATAAATCACCCTGATACTATTTTCGAACACATTTTCTAGAACCTTACATGTTATGTTTATAATACAGATATAAAATAATTCTCCATGTAATGGACTCTACTGGCCAGACCAAGGTTTGTCTGTTTCAGAATGAAGGAAAATTGCTGACCCACAAAACTCCAATGGAACTTTTGAATGGCCAGCTCGAAGAGGTACTAACATTAGTTATTGATCCATTTTAAAGTTTAATAAAATTTAAGTACATCCGTTTGTTTTACTGTGGTAATGGTAATTCAAATATATATTCGGACAGATCCAGGATCCATCAAAGTTACCACAAGCAATACAGAGTTTGGTTGGCAAAACATTTCAATTTACTGTCAGCATTGGGAAGGAAAATATCAGAGCTGGAAATGATACATACAAAGTGGCCTATGCTTTTGTTGGACTGGAAGACAATGACTTGACCAACACTCAGCTTTCTAATGAGGTCGATGATCTAGCTACTATCGTCAGTGGTGACCAAGTAAGCTATTAATCATGTGGTGCAAGAACATTATGCTTGGATTTGATATTATAACCCTACTATCTTATATGCGTTTCCTGACATGTTTTCTACCTATTTTCATACTCTCACGAGACCTTTATGATATCAAACACTGACGATAGTATTCAAACAGAGGAGACTTGCAAAACTCCATGCTCTAAACGTAAGGATGAGGTGTCTTTGGATGTTCCTGATGAGTCATCATCTTCAAAGAAGTTATGTATTGGTAACATGAAAGCAGTGATAGAAGACGTTAAGAATGGAGCTGATTTGGAAGTGGAAAAAAGTGGCTAAAGGTCTTTTCTGTATTTGCACTAGCCATGAAGGGTGAATTTAAGTTCCTGCTATGAAAGTTTTAAGAGTATGTTTCTGTTTTTTAAGTTTAATAACCATGATAGACTCTCAATTCATGGGGTTTTCAAGTTTAGTTGATCGTTTAAGATCCATTACAGTTTTATGCGTGTTTTTAATAAAATTCCTTTCATGGTTTTATTTATGTCCACTGAAAACAAGAGCAGGATTAATATGTAATCAAGTATGCATTCTCAATTTAGCAAGTACCTCATCAACTCTTCACAGATCTACAACAAAGTCCAACTGAATCCATATAAGAATATAGATGATCCATTTCACCTGTTAAAAGAAAAGAGTCTGTTTAAATGAAGACATTTCAAGAAAACCCATTACTAGTACATAATTTGAATATTAAAAATATTAGCTGTGTACACTTGCAGTATTCTAAATATTTACAATTGTAATACACGGTCCTTTGAAGTTTATTCAACGAATTAACAGGTCTATATTACAAATTTGTTTTAATTTTTTGCATCTTCATTTTAAAAAGTACCTCATTTTTATTTAACTGATCTTTGAGCCAAGTCGTGACCACCTGCATACAAGAATGGAGCTGAATTGGCATGTACCTGTGAAATGGGAAAAATTACAATTTTATGACATTTTAGAATTTCAACCATTATTAATACATAATATTGATATATTGAATATACCGGCCTACTTAAGATATTTAAAGACTGAGTTGAAAGGTAATAAGTTATTTCATTACCAAAACATCGAATTATAAATTAAAAAGTTTATTATGATCTTTCAAGATTCACATATGGTTAGGAGTGGTTTACAGAAATTTAGGGATCCTAATAGCTTATTTTTATTACGTGTATACTTTTCTAGACACCATCTAAAGGGAGATTCAAAATACTAAGTGGGTGTTATTGGATAATGGATTTTAATAGAGTCTAACTCTAACCCATGTCTAATGTTATTTAATCAATGATTTTAAATATTTTACTCAAATCAAGTGTTATTGGTTCTTATATTTGCAAAATCTTCATTAAAAGAGTTTAAAATCTAGTGTTATTGGTTCTTATATTTGCAAAATCTTCATTAAAAGAGTTTAAAATCTAGTGTTATTGGTTCTTATACTTACAATTATTAACTAAAGTCTTATGTTATTCAAGTTGGTGGATTTTCACAAATGATTTCATTTGAAAAGCTTTGAGTGAATCTGAAACTGATTTCATGTGTAAATTATGTCAATCCCAAAACCAACCTTCTAATATGAGATTTGACAATCTAATAAATTAATAAAAGTTTCATTTAACGTAATACACGTATGTTATCAATATTTGCAAACTCATTCACCCATGACCCAACACATATGTATCTCTCTTTATCATTTTTTTCCCAGTCTTTTTTTTTATCCCTAGTTAATGTGTATATTGTTTTAACAGTTGTTGTATGATTCATTTGATCACTTTAACAAAAAAAAAAAAATTTCATCTTTAAAAGATATGTTAAGACTTCAATACAGAAATTTGAAATGGGAAAAAAATACGTGATGGTAAAAGTTTGGTATAATTTCATTGAAAATTGTAAAATCATTTGTTATAGAAATCAATTCTATTGTTCAAAACCAAAAGATATCATGTGTGAGTGTAAATACACTTCCACTGATCTAAAGAATGAATAATAAATCAGTCTCAATGAACCCAGATTTTGAAAGTCTTATGAATTTAAAATCTAATGGAGTTGAATTTAACTTAAACAACTAATAACACCCCCTAAGATTACAATAAGTTTTATAGAGGAGGAAAATGAGAGAGAGAGACGAAGAATCAGATGAAAATCCACACAGTGTGGTGAAACCTAAGAGGCACAAGTTGAATACTACTAATACACAACAAAGCAGCATTACTCAGAAGCAATCTACTAATGGTTCATCTGTCCAGCCTCTCAATGGAGTATTTAGTAGGGTTTTCAGAGACCTTACCAACTTACAAGGAATATCAGCTGAGACATATAAAACTCCTCAAAAGCAACATCTCCCTTCTGCAAATACAGCAGAAAAACGAACTGGTGAGTTTAGTAAACAGATGTTAAACTTCATGCTCATTATATGGATTGACACTATTTTGACAAATCAAATACATACAGCAAACACTACAGATGGAGCATACAACATACAGCAATCTACTAATGGTTCATCTGTCCAGACTCTCAATGGAGTATTTAGTAGGATTTTCAGAGACCTTACCAACTTAGAAGGAATATCAGCTGAGACATATAAAACTCCTCATAAGCAACATCTCCCTTCTGCAAATACAGCAGAAAAACGAACTGGTGAGTTTAGTAGACCAATGTTAAACTTCATGCTCATTATATGGATTGACACTAATTTGACAAATCAAATACATACAGCAAACGGTAGAGATTTCGCCCAATAAGGAACAACAATAAGTCACACTATGGCAATGGATGCATCAGCAAAAATTATTGAAGGGTCAAGGAATAGACTTAAGAGTAGAAGAATTTTCGAGCAGCAAAAAAGTCTTATCATGTTTACATCATTGAATTCTACATGTAAGAAATGCATTATTCTATTTATAAGTTACTAAGCGTTTAATATTAACATCATTGTAGTTTCAACCAACAGCTTACAATTGATCTATTACAGATGAAGATGATCATTCAGCATATCTCACTGGTAGATCTACAACTAATCACAGTCTTGAGAAAACACAAGATTCAATGCCTCAACCAAGAAATTTGGAAAATGAATTTGATGATAGTTTATGGACACAATCTTCTGAAGGTCAGTCAATCATTCACTTATTATAGCAATCCAGTTTTGTTGTTTTGGTGAGTTAATCAAGTACTCACTCTTTAAAATCCAAATTTTTAGATGAAAATGAATATGACAGCGAGCAAGTTTATTTCTTACCAAGCAGTGATGATGAAAACCCTGGGATAGATTCAATTGAGGATATACATGTATTTGACAAGTCAGAAGGTTCTACTAATCAAAAGAAACCAAACAGCAATCATCCCAAAACAAAGAAAATTCAAAGGAAAATGGCAGTAACAGGTATTAGTTATAGATTCGGATTTTTATTACCAAATGTATTAATATGAGTAATTTTCAGAAAACATTATCCTTTGTCTAACAGGTTATCTAGATCATGGTGATCCCGACTATAATTGTGAATATTGTGCAATGATGTGGTATGATGAAAGGCTAAACAAGAGGAGGAACACAAGAAAACCACATTTCTCATTGTGTTGTTTGCAAGGCACAGTGAAACTTCCTCTCTTTAAAAAAGCACCAGAATATTTGAGGAAACTGTTAACGGGTACTGATAAATTAAGTAGGCATTTCCAAGATAATCTTCGTGGTTATTGTATGGTTTTTGCTATGACTTATTTGGGTGGTAGAGTTGAGAAATGCGTGCTCAGTGGGAAAGGTCCAAATATGTTTCAGTTACAAGGAAACAATTTCCATCTAATTGGTAGCTTGAAGCCTAAAGATAATGATTATGCCAAATTTTCACAGCTTTATATTGTTGATACAGAAAATGAATAGCCAACAGGAGTACGGTTATGAGGTTAGTTATATGCTGTGTTAGCGACGTGCATACTATTCTTTTTGAGGCGTATGTTTAAATGTTTAAATTTTTGTTATTTGCTATTTTCAGTAAAGGCAAGGGTTCAACGACAACAATCAACCAAAAAAAATCTTCTACCAGAAATCATTGGGAACTTGATCAAGATGCTAGATGATGCTAATCCCTATGTTAAACATTTCAGAGCAGCTAGAGATAGATTTCAAACTTCTGGAGATAAAACTTTTCATATGAGGATTGTTAATGATCGTGTTGGTTTGGATGGCAGAAACTACACAAATCCTACATCTGGTGAGATTGCTGCATTAATCCCAGGAGATTTTGTCAAATCTATGCCAGAACGTGATATCATCATTCAAGAGCGAACAACTGGAAGCTTACAGAGAATAAGTGAGATACATCCTTCTTATTTTTCCTTGCAGTATCCTTTCATTCATGTCTATGGTGAAGACGGTTTTCGACCAGGAATCCAAAAAAGATACACTACCAAAACCCAAACTAGGAAGACAAAATGTATTAGCATGAGACAGTGGTTTGCATTTCGTATACAGGAAAGGTTAGCTGAGTCTGATACCCTACTCTTATCTAGGAGGTTGTTTCAACAGTATTTAGTTGATGGTTATACAGCAATAGAAACGAACCGGCTAAGATATATCAAGATAAACCAGTCAAAGTTTAGATGTCAGAATTATAGCGATGTGAAAGAAGCAGCTCAATCTGGTGATACAAATATGAGTCAGCAAGGGACTCCAGTCTCAATACCATCTTCGTTCACTGGTGGTCCTCGGTATATGGTTCAAAGCTACTACGATGCTATGGCAGTTTGCAAACATTATGGATTTCCTGATCTTTTCATTACATTTACATGTAATCCTAAGTGGCCAGAGATAACTAGATTTGTAAAAGCCAGAGGACTTAATGCGTGTGACAGACCAGACATTATATGTCGCATTTTCAAGATCAAGCTTGATTCATTAATGTTGGATTTGACTGACAGGAAGCTTCTTGGTAAAACTAATGCTGGTATGTCTAAAATTTACATATATCTTCTTACATAATGTTCTAGATTGCAAGCTATTACTAACATAAATGTTTTACTTTCCAGCTATGTACACCGTGGAGTTTCAAAAACGTGGTCTACCACACGCTCATATTATGTTATTCATGGCTCAGAGAAGTAAATTGCCCACAGCTGATGAAATAAACAAGATTATATGTGCTGAGATACCGGATAAAGAAACCAAGCCAGAGCTATATGAAATCATAAAAGATTCTATGATACATGGTCCTTGTGGTGCAACTAATACCAATTCACCATGTATGGTAGAGGGTAAGTGTTCAAAACTCTACCCAAAGTCCTATTCTGAGATCACTAAA